AAACCGATAGTATCTGAAGGAAGAGTACTTTGAGCTAAACTACAGCCTTGGATCAACACTCACAGCAGAGCGGGGTGTGTGGGAACAAGTTTCACTAAATCCTTTCAAATGGCACACCTTAACTAGGTTGAAATACGCAAGAAATTGTGATAGCCAAAGGATGTTATGAGGATATAGTATAGGTGAATTCACTAAGACAGGAGAGATGCCACAATTGTTTAGCAGACAAATGGTCAAAATATTGACTTCACTTGTCTCTTTGACGAGTTGTAGGGTGGTGCTAAGAATAACAAGGATCACTGACGATACCGGCCAAACGCCTGGAAATGTACCAAGTCAACTGTCCGATAACTCTGGAAGTTATCATGCATGCTATGGGCTCCGGACAAGTTACGTTCCCCTTGGTCTTCCAGAAAATATGATTAAGTTGCTAAAACAAGATGAAACGGCCTCCGTAGATCATTTTATAAGTGTAATTTTCACGACAAATTAGAGATCAGCTATATATTTTAAGCGATTTTACTTTTTTTGTTTTCGCTGCAAGAATTAACTGCAGTTTTAGCAGTCCTCAGAGTTTATAAATGCCCCGAAGATAATTTAAAACCTAGTTAGAAGCGTCATAGAAACGTATTACCTTCCTATCATAATGCCCAAATGTTGGTAGGTTTGAGACAAGGGACACTTATATTGTAAGAAGACTAATAATTCATGCCTATTAACGGAATATATCTCGAAATAACACCTCATGCTCGCAATTAAACCTATCATTGTAGATAAACCAGAATTGTATTAACCTTGGGAAATATAAGTAATCTACACAACTCAAACAAAATAAACAATATCAAAATCATGCTAGAATATTAGATAAAACAAAAGAACGTATTATAAAAAATAGCATATTATTTTTTACATTTTTTAACCAGGATTGCTAGTTATACAAGCACAAAAAATAGCAGGCAAAATAAATAAGTCAAGAGTTGTAATGGTTTTTAGTATAAGAAGTACACAAATTAAATTGTATTGCTTGCATGTCAGAAGATGTGATAGGTAGATAGATTTGAAATTAAAACGTTTCAAACATTCAAGTTAAACAGATTAAACAAGGCACCATAATACCATAATTAAACGTAAGATCACAAGTTTGAGTCAACTTTAAGCATACTGAATAAAAAGCAAAAACTATTCCACGAAAATATGAATTTATTTTCAAGGAGTTTACATCAAAATTCATAATCCGACAATTAGTCACAATCAATCACAATCAATCTTTCTAACAGCCTCTAAGCTCTCCAAAGCTTTGGGCAAAAATAAGATGCTCTAATCCTGGTGTGGTTAGCAAAAATAATAAAAGAATCCTTCTAGATCAAGTCATAAAGACTGGGAGATAATGTGTTAATTACATAGTATATGCCTGCTTTCAGAAGGAGTTAAACAGGAAAGCTTCAGAATCAATGTTTAGTCATAGTGGGCTTTTTTAAAGGTGCCATTCTTAAAAGAATATGTCCTGAAAGATCAGCATCAGCCAACGTCTGTGAGAGATCAGTCAGCATCCATCTTTGGCAAAGGACACCTTGAGAATCCGAGGCTTCGTTGGTGCTCCTCAGCTTAGCATCAAAACCTGACATGTTGACCAAAACATAATCACGAATTGTCGATTCACCTGAAGATTGGATACCTCGAGCCTTATCAATATAAATGTATATTTGTTCTATCTGCTCAGTAGAAGCCATTTCTAGAGAATAGATCTTTCGCCCATTGAGGGAGCACACGCGAAGATGCACAAAAGAAGACTCTTTCATATTCCGGCTATGAATAGTTAAAGAAGACTGGGCATCGCCTGAGCAGCTGTCAGACCTGAAAGTATAGACCAAAGCAAAGAATGATCAAATAAAAATGCTGTAAAAAATATTTATCCAAACTTTTGCCCCACGTA